CAGAAGTGATGAAGATACCCAACCAACACCATCAACAACAATAAGAAGCTGTAATCACTATCAATGAGAGAAGTAGCCTCTTTCACCTATAAGGGCAGCATCGTTTCAACTACAGGTGGCACAGACGAGGACGTCAAAGACAAGGTCGGAAAAGCAAAACAGTCGTTCATTTAGCTGAAACTAGTGTGGAGTCAACTGCACTCAGCATAAAGCGTGAACAACATCCGCATTTCCAACACCAATTCAGTCAATTCAGCGCTTCTATACGATGGTTCAGAGACTTGGCACGTTACGAAAGGGATTTCCAACAAACTACAGACATTCATCAACAACTGCTTACGCTCGTTACTCTGGCAACGAGCCAAACAAGAACCTATCGCTGAACAAATATGTACCGGAAGGAAGTGGAGATGGATTGGGCTGAGGATACACTGAGAAGGCCGACTTGGGGCATCAGGCCAGGTACTCGAGTGGAACATACATAGGAAGCGATGAGTTGGACGTCCGTGGTGAGGGTGACATTGTGGAGATGGTGTGAGGAGTAAATGAGAGGTTGTGGGCTGTCATGGAGCCAGATTCAAAAGATTGCAGAGAAGAGAGTGCACTGGCGACGTGCTACTGAAGCCCTATGTTCATTCCTACTAGCCTAGTCAACATGCTAACAACCATATCCATTGGAATATATGAGATATCTTCATTCAGATAAAACCGGGGGGAAAAAAAGTTCGATTCATATAAATTTTCGTTTTGATAAAACATTAACAATGATGTACACTTGTATACTGTATGCACATGAATAGATCAGATTGATACTTCCGTTTTATCAATGTCTCTATTATTTTTTATTCAATGTCTATTATAAAAGATAATGGTAACACTAATAGTATATAGATGAATACAATATCCGGTTAATTGAATTTCTTGTTTTATATACTGATGGATATTCAATATGATTAACTTAATTCTAAAGGATTTTTAAAGTCATATATATTGTACAGAATTTTAAGCATAACAGCTAAATGCATAATTAACTGAGAGAATCAACTGTGAAACACCTCACTACCCCCATCCATTCACTTTCAAGTGGCAGACAAAGACTCTACCCAATTAGAACGTGAAAAAAAATAATTTCTGCCATTCACAAAATACTATAACAAACTAAACTGAATTTTGATGGAGTTGTAGGGATTTAGTAATACTTCAAGTTGTTGTTATACATCGTAGACTAACATCAGTGGCTCAATGATAACGTGCTGGTCACAGAACCTGAAAGTCATTGGTGGTGGGTGCGCACAGCTGAAGAGTCTCATATTAGTCGGATGAAATAGCTACTATCCAGTGCTTCCAGGTTTCCTTTATTCCTTCAAATGATGTCAGTCTATGATGAATAACAAATTTGAATTTATATTATTATCAGTTATATCAGTTATAACATGATACTAACATCTAATTCTTAACAAATGAGGCGAACCTGGTGGATGTGAGAACAAACACTCATCGATGATATTCATTATCATCGTCATCTATCAACATAGGACCTGGTATTACTGTGTAATAATCTGAGTTGCCACACCTCATATCACCCCATATCAAGTAAACAAGGCAGTCAAGTGGAAGATGAAGAAAAGAAAATTCAACCAAAAGAAATATAAGGCAAGAAAGAGAGAGAAACGAAGAATGAGGAAATGGTGAGATATATTAATATATATATTAATATATATAATATATATATATATATATATTAATATATATTAATATATTAATATGTCTATACATCTGAGCCACTGCATACGTTCTCAACCATGTCATCATCTAGAGTCAACCAACCACTGTTTCCTGTTGTCCCGTACACCACCAACCGGCTAGTCTGCATAGCTGCATATGGCTCACACCAACAGTTAGCGACTTCATACACTGGTGCCATGTTTTAATCTGGCCGCCTCGAGCCTTTTTCCAGCTTGGACCTACTTCGGCAAACATTGTGTGACGAAGCGATCGGCGACTAGGCATACATAACAAATATCTCAGTCAGACATCTCAGTCAATCAAGGTTCACAACCGTGTCAACTGATATACCTCTACACCTGACTTTCTGCGTTACTCACGTGGTGACGCCACGGAATACTTTGAGGGGATTGATAATCTTTTGTCAGATTTGAACCCAAATAAGCCAGTGTTACAATCAGCGAGATTACCGCTGAGCTATCCCGGCTGCGACTGACCTCCAATAGGACTGGATTAGATAAACTGACTGGTCACTAGAGAGCAGCCAATTTCATCATAGTGCATATAAGTGGATGTTAGTTGGTTCGAAGCAACTAGGAAAAGGTCCCAGACTTGCGTTCCGAGATTGGTGGCAACCTCGACGGAACTGATGTTTCACCTAAGATTCAAACCCTCGCCATCCAATATTTTAGTCAGCGACATTACCACTGACTTGTAGCACTGGATTAAGCATGCTGATTGGTCAACGGAGAGTTACTAATCACATCTAGTCTAGTCTAGTCCTGATAGCTGATTGAAATATATCTATCATTTATCAATCTGGTCACTAATAATTAATTAGGTAAATGCAATAAGAAATCTTTGACAGAATATTCCACAGATGATAAGGTTACTTTCAAGCATGCTGAGCTTCCTAGCTTGGTTGCTACATCTCAAATATCATCGATGGAATTCGATCTGCACTCAGGACTAGACAACATGAAATTGGTTGCACTCCCATGACGAATCAATACATGTAAGCCAGTCCTACAGGGAGTCAATCGCGGCCCGAATAGCTCAGTGGTAAAGTCATAACTACAACACTGTGCGACGCGGGTTCGGATCTCAGGCGGGACATCGGGTCCGTTGAAGTTGCAGAGGCTCCTTGCTGGCAAGCGCCAAAAAGGGCGAAACCTAGGTCCAAAACTTTCTGCCGACTGCCTCCAACTAACATATTCGACCGTTAGAATACGTCTACTCCACTGTTACGGATTTTCAGCTATGTTACCAAGAGTCATCAACCATTCATTCAGTCTACCCTTGCCCCATAGGGCTCAGTAAGAAACTTCATCGACTGATAGGAGATCTTGGCCTAGCCACTCTGAAGCCTATCCCAACCCAATCCAACTTCCCTTAGCACGATGCGCAACACGAGTCCAAATTATGTTGAAGTGAGAGAAGCTCAATTACACTAGTGATATTCTTTATTGTATGACATGAATATATATTACCTGAAAGATTTGCCTTTCCCAAATCACTTTAGAAATCTACATAGCTTATAAATGATAGAAGTGATAAAAGGTGATGACTGAAATCGATTTCAGATACACTTATTGCCAATATATATATATATATATATATATATATATATATATATTAGTCCCTTGAGTTCCATAGTGGAACATAGGACTTCACTAGCACGTCTCCATTCCACTCTCTTCTCTGAAATCTGTTGAACCTGGCTCCACGACAGCCCACAACCTCTCATTTACTCCTCACACCATCTCCTCCATATCACCCTCACCACCGACGTCCAACTCGTCGCTTCCCATGGGGATTCCACTCGAGGACCTGACTGGCCTGACACGTGATGTCCTCAGTCTGCCTTCTCAGTGCATGTCCAATCCATCTCCACTTCCTTCCAATGCATATTTGTTCAGCGATAGCTTCTTGCTTGGTTCTTTCCCAGAGCTCCTTCTTGCTTATTCTAACTATTCTGACCATCTGATCTTCAGTAACAAGCCAGCGTAGGTGGCAGTTGTTGACGAATGTCTGTAGTTTATTGGAAATGCCTTTCGTAACCCGCTAAGTCTCTCAACCATCACACAGAAGCACTGACTTGACTGGTGTTGATGTTGAAAATCCGGATGTTGTTCCACATGCTGGGTGCAGGAGATCTCCACACTGGCTTCAGGCTAATCAAAGCCTGTCTTGCTTTTCCGACCCTGCTTGACTTTGACATCCTCGTCTGTGCCTGTACTTGTGCCTGTGCCGCCTATACTTGAAACACTGCTACTCTGCCTAGATAGGTGAAGGAGGTTACTTCCTTTAAGTTTCTCCCGTTCATGCTGATTCCAGTTTGTTGTTGGTGGTGGTGCGGTATCCTCATCACCTCTACCTCTGTCTTCTCTATATTCACTTGAAGTCCCGTCTTCCTTCGCAGCCCTGCCCTGCTTCACCTCTTCTGTCAACTTCTTAGTTTTCGCCTGTACATCTTCAAGTTTGTGTGACATCACACACAAGTCATCGTTGGCGAAATCCAGATCTTCTAGGTTCTTTTCCGCAGTCCAGTCAGCGTATCCCCCTCTTCTCACAGCTCCCCACTGGTTCCTGCATGATCCAGTCCTGTTGACCACAATAAGGAATATCATGAGGGATAGTAGGCAACCTTGTTTCACTCCTACTTCTGTCTTCATTTCACTTCAAAAGCATCACTGAGCTTCCCATTGTGAATTACTTGGCTGGCATGTGGCATCCTCATATAGTTGTTGAATGAGGTGGATAAAGGTTTGTGGTACTCCGTAGTAATGAAGCAGTTTCCAAATTACTTCTCGGTTGACGCTGTCAAAGGCCTTCTCAAAGTCGATAAAGTTAAGTTGACTGCCATTCTATACTCTGTTCTATGATGATGCGAAGCATTGCTATTTGGTCCGCACATGAGTTGTACTTCCTGAAGCCTGCCTGTTCCGGTCGTAGTTTTGGATGCAGTTCATCCTTTAGCCTCTCCAAGATGATGCGGCTTAATATTTTGCTTGCTCTGGGTGGACAGGAGAGTGATTCCTCGCCAGTTCTTGCAAACACTGAGGTCTACCTTCTTCGGCAGTTTGACAAGGTAACCCTTCTTCCAATCCACCAGCAGGTACCTTCTCTTACTTCCACACATCCTGCAATATATATATATATATATATATATATATATATATATATCGCATCCCTGGACACAAACTGTCTATAATACCCAGTAACCAATACTCCCCTTGCTGGTAGGAAATCATCAGAGGGAAAAAAATACATCATTAAACAACTGACTACTCATAGTAGTCCTTTTTATATTACACAAAAAGAAAATAAAACTGTAAAAACGTTCCTTTTTTCAGTAAACAACAGCAAAAAACAAATCCACATAATATACTCAAATGTGAAACCATACCAGTGTATATTTGTACATTTCTTCTTCTTATTGAAATGGTAAACACCTTGAGTTGAAATTGTTCATATTATGATTGTTACTGCTGTTACTATTATTATTATTATTATTATTATTATTGCTACTGCTACTATTGTTATTATTATTATTATTATTAGTAGTAGTAGTAGTAGTAGTATTATTCATTGCGTTAGCTACATTAGCAACCAGAGAATTCCAATTTGGATTGGCAGCTCTCAATGCATTTGTAATTAATGAGGCAGTCAATGGATTGGGCGGCTATTGAGGATACATATACAGATAAAAATATTAAAGTATCATATATTTTTGCGTAAATAATGAATATATATATATATATATATATATATATATATATATATATATATATATATATATATATATATATATATATATATATATATATATATATATATAGTGAAGCTTAAATAATGGAAATCAGCTCTCTGCCTCAACTTCATCGACTTTGAGAAGGCCTTTGACAGCGTCAACCGAGAAGTAATTTGGAAACTGCTTCATTACTACGGAGTACCACAAACCTTTATCCACCTCATTCAACAACTATATGAGGATGCCACATGCCAGCCAAGTAATTCACAATGGGAAGCTCAGTGATGCTTTTGAAGTGAAATGAAGACAGGAGTAGGAGTGAAACAAGGTTGCCTACTATCCCCCATGATATTCCTTATTGTGGTCAACAGGACTGGATCATGCAGGAAACAGTGGGGAGCTGTGAGAAGAGGGGGATACGCTGACTGGACTGCGGAAAAGAACCTAGAAGATCTGGATTTCGCCAACGATGACTTGTGCTTAATGTCACATAAACTTGAAGATCTGCAGGCAAAAACTAACAAGTTGATAGAAGAGGCAGCGAAGACGGGACATCAGGTGAATATAGAGAAGACAGAAGTGATGAAGATACCGCACCACCACCATCAACAACAACAACAAACTCCAATCACCATCAACGGGAGAAACTTAAAGGAAGTAACCTCCTTCACTTATCTAGGAAGCATTGTTTCAACTACAGGCGGGACGGACGAGGACGTCAAAGTCAGAATCGGAAAAGCAAGACAGGTGTTCATTAGCCTGAAACCAGTGTGGAGATCCTCTGCACTCAGCATGCGGAACAAGATCCGGATTTTCAACACCAACGTCAAGTCAGTGCTCTTGTATGGCTCAGAGACTTGGCGCGTCACGAAAGGCATTTCCAATAAACTACAGACATTCATCAACAACTGCTTACGCTCGCTACTGGAGATCAGATGGCCAGAAAGAATAAGCAACAAGGAGCTGTGGGAACGAACCAACCAAGAACCTATCACGCACCAAATATGCAGGAAGAAGTGGAGATGGATTGGCCATGCACTGAGAAGGCCGACTGAGGACATCACGCGTCAGGCCAGGTACTCGAGTGGAATCCCCATGGGAAACGACGAGTTGGACGTCCAAGGGTGACATGGAGGAGGTCGTGCGAGGAGGAAATGAGAGCTTCTGGGCTGTCGTGGGACCAGGTTCAAAAGATCTCAGAGAACAGAGTTCACTGGAGGCGTGCTACTGAAGCCCTATGTTCCACTAGGAACCCAAGGGACTAATAATAATAATAATAATAAAAAGCTTAAATGATTCACCACTGACGCCTTTTCTTATCTTATTAGATGGTGGATACAAAGGTGTTGAACAGCTTCTAAACCTTAGATACTCCAGAATAAGTAGAAGAAACAATCATCTGGTTAGTTATCAAGTTACTCACTATCATCAGTTGAAGGAACATTGGATAGCTAAATCGTTCTACTATGGAACTCCTCAGTGCGTAGTGCGTACTCATCACCCTCCATCAGGATTCGAGCCATACACCTTTAGATTCCATCCCCAACCATTACCATTGGGCCACTGGGTCAGCATTTAATGGTACATATTTCCCACATCTATCAGTTCACAACATAGCATGAGTATTTGTTCTCACATCCACCAGGTTTTTCCAACCAGTCACGAGGTCTCATCCGAACTTCAGGAATCACCTCTCGAAGCTAGTCACCAATGAACACTAGATTTATTCAATTTACGGGGGTTTGTGAGGATTTAGTGATTTTTCAAGTTAATACTCATAATGGACTGTTCCTTAATGACTAGCTTCGAGAGGTGATTCCTGAAGTTCGAATAGGAAGTTGTGACCAGTGGAGCCAATGAAGTGGAGCATGAGAACACAGTTACTCAACAACGATATTGAACGGAAGTCGCATTATGCATCGTGAACTGACAGAAGTTGAAAATACGGACCACTAGATTCCGACCCAGTGGCTCAATGGTAATGTGCTGGGTTCGATCCCTAGTGGGACGGGGTGATGGGTGCATACTGTTGAGGAGCCACATACTAGTGGGATGAAACGGGTGTTCGGTGCTCTCAAGTCTTCACAGTGTCCCTCCAACTGATGTCAGTCTATGATGGATACCAACTTGAAGAATCAATAAATCCCTCACAAACCTCTAAATTGAATTAATCTAGTGCTCATTAATCACTAGCTTTAAGAGATGGAATCCAGAAGTTCTAATGAGAAGTAGGCCGAATTATCCAAGTTGAAAATACGTAGAATAGGATTTAAGATCCAGGACTTATTGCTTCAAAAGTTGAATACTTCAACCAATGAACAAAAACCCAGAAATTCACACACATTATTATTGTAACCAACTAACTTAACTCGGTTAATGTAAACAATTGTCAGTCAGTTTCACTGATGTTGAGAAAGAAGAAGAACAACTCCTTCATTAACTAGTTGTATATTCATGTACTCAACAACAGATTACACCTGTTGTGTGTACGGTTAATGATACTACTAGCTGGCTATGTAGACTTCAGAAGACCCATTAGTTAAAAGTCAACCATATGTACCAATAAATTATACTTTCACAGATATTCTTTACAACTTCGCCTGACATGAAAACGTCATCCTTTCACATTCATACAGTAGAATTTTAATGAATAAGTGAAAGTACTTTGGAATTTAGTTCCGTATATCTTCGTCGTAACCTCGCCTGGTTAACTAGTTCACTAGTTACTAGCCGGTCCTAAGCCCCCATAAAGAGGGAATGTTGCGCATAGGGCTAGCAACCCTAACCCTTACAATCAATCTAACCACTACAGAAACTTCAAAGCATAGACAAAATATAAAAAATAAAAACAACCTCATTCCTCTCTGGAATCGGGGAGAGGAAATGACGCCAGTTGGTGAAAGCCTTCGGAAAGGCAGTCGGTCGATGTGTCTTCTCCCTCTCGATGAAACCGAAATTAAGAATGGGGACATGGAGTGCTTACTCTCGTTACTGAAGTTCAGATGGCCAGAATAATAAGAATAAGCAACAAGGAACTCTGGCCTGCCAAGGAACCATACAACAACCTATTGCTCAACAAATATGCAGAAGGAAGTAGAGATGGATTGGGGATACATTGAGAAGGCCGATTAGGGACATTACGCGTCAGGCCAGGTACTCGAGTGGAACCCACATAGGAAACGACGAGTTGGGTGTCCAAGTCGAGGGTGACATAGAAGAGATCGTGTGAGGAAGAAATGAGAGCTTCTGGGCTGTCGTGGAGCCAAGTTCAAAAGATTTCAGAGAACACAGTGGCACTGGAGACGTGCTACTGAAGCCCTATTTTCCACAAGGAATCCAAGGGACAAATAATAATAATATCTTGGTTGTATTGTGTTCTTTAAGTTGAAGGGGATTTAAATTAGTCAAAGATTATTAACTGATTGATTGATGTGCTCAGATTTATCATTTTATCTTACAGACTATGGGAAGTAGGGCAGGGGAACGATTAAAAGAATTTGAACTACCTGGAGTGAGAATATAATTTTTATTATCCATGAGGCATCATTTTATATGAATAACAGAGATGTTGCCCGTCTCTCTCATAATTACTAATGGATCAACTTTTTTCATGAAGTCTTCAGTTGTCAAGAAGGCAAAAGCCTTTACTGAAGTAAACGAACAGCTACTTGAATTGACCAAAACAACCAATCTTGTCTATTCTTACGAACTTATTCCCAATGGTTTAATAAGTATTCATTTGAGAAGGGAATAGAGTCTAGATGGCACCCTTAACTGCTGTAAAAAAAAAACTAGGTTATATCAGAAGAATGCTTAGACTCCTCACCCCTAAATGTATTCCATCATTCCGGTGGTCGCTGGTTCGACTCCGGTCACGGTTCAGATTTTCACCTCACCATTAATCATTACCTAGTATAAAAAGAAAATATTTTTCACTTTACCTAGGATACTGATTACCTATCATAGATTTGGACGACTAATCTATCATCTAAGAACAATCTGAAATTGCTTTGTATAAGAGATAAGCAATTGGTAGATATTGACACGAATGCGTTTATCTCCTATAAAATATACTCGTAATCTAATTTCCATTATTATTCGACTTGTTAAAACTGTATTATTTGAAAGAAAAAATGGTTTTTTACTCCATTTTGATCATTAGTTTGGATGCAAGTGACCGATCTCTGTTAGTATGGGGATTCATATTTTCCAGAAGATTCCCTGTGATATATATAATTCACTCTCGGTTATGTTGCATTCTGTAAGATGTTTAGTTTAATCATGAAGTTTTCCTTATCTCATAATGAAGTCCCACTTCGCGGACATTACGCGTCAGCACAGTGCCTCGAGTGGAACCAGAAGGGGGAAAACAACCTTTTGGGCATCCAAGTAGAGGGTCACATGGAGATTATGTGAGGAAGAAATGAAAGCTTATGGGCAGTCGTGGAGACAGCTTCGAAAGACTATAGAGAACAGACTGCATTGGAGACGTGCTACTGAAGCCCTATGTTCAATTAGGAACCCAAGAGAAAAAATAATAATAATAATACACCTTGGAAATGACATCATTGAAAAAGAGGTACTTCCCGCTGTATGCCTTTCGTCCAATGAATAAAACTACTAGTTTCAGATAATTTCAGAGATTATACCTCGAAGGTTTGTGGAAGTTTATTGATCGGTTTTTAGTTGAAATGCATCATGGACTGATATCACAAAAGAACATTAGAAACCTAAAAATCAATAAATACACCTCCATAAATATCTAGATAGAAGTAATCCAGTTCTCATTCGTGGTGAGTGGAGTCATCATCAACTATCAACATAGGAACAGGCATTACTGTGTAACACTCCGAGTTGCCACACCTCATATCACCACATCAAGTAGACAGATAGTGAAGTGGAAGATGAAGATAAGAGAATGCAGTCAGAAGAAATATAAAGTACGCAAAGAGAGAAAGGAAGAATGAGAAAATGGTGAGATTCGATATAGCGTCGTTAAGGTGAGGATAATGTGTGTATACATCTGCGCCATTGACATTGATTCTCAACCATGCCATCACCTAGAGTCAGTCTCCAACCACTAGTTCCTCTTGTCCCGCAGACCACAACCACCTAGTCTGCATCACCCCACATAGCTCAAACCAGTTGTCAGAGACTTCATACATTAGTGCCATGTTTTAGTCTGGCCACCTCAGGCCTTTTTCCAGCCTGGACCTACTTCAGTCAACATTGTGTAACGAGGCAGTTGGCGACTAAACATACGTAAGACGCATCCCAACCATCTCAGTCAATGAAGGTTCACAACCTCATCTACTGATTTACCTCTGCTCCCTAAGACTCTACACCTAACTTCTGCATTACTCACATGGTGACCACGGAATACGGCCTATACTTCGAAGGCAACGGTGGTCAAACACCTGAAGCCAGCCTTCTCATGTCTTCCACCTTCAACCAAGTCGAACATGAGAGCATTTATTCAACGACGACATTGAACGAAAGTCACGGTATGCATCGTGAACTGATAGAAGTAGGAAATATGGACCATTGGATTCCGGTTCAGTGGCTCCTCAATAGTAACGTGAGGGTCACGGAACCTGAGTTCGATCCCAGGTGAGGTGAGGTGGGGTCACGGGTACACATTGCTGAGGAGTCCCGTATTAGGACGAAATAGTTGTCCAATGCCTCCAGGTTTCTAATATTCATTCAGCCAATGTCAGTCCATGATGAATTCCAACCTGAAAGTATTCAGGCCGATGGTTGGATACAAAAATTGTTACATGTAACACATTTCAAACTTATAGTTCACCTGATTTAACTCTACAGTCCACCAATATTTATCATTTGCATATATTAATCAAAATTAGTAATTTAGTTAACAAAATCAATGAAAATCGACCGACTTACACGTAATTGATTATTAGTTAATGACTGTTGAATTGTTCCAGATAGATTTGTACTACCGGCAACTCCACTGCCTCCAGCAGATTTTGATTGAACAGCAGACATAGCTGCAGAAACAACAGCAACTAAAGCAGCAACTGCAGATGCACCACTGAAATTTGCATTATGTGTAGATGATAATTGTGGAACTGATAAAGAATTGGTTAAAAATGTTGGTGGTGGAGGGATATTTGGTGCACCAATCGGTGGAGGTGGTAGTCTAGGCGGAGGACAATTGGGGAATTGTTGAATTTGTGGAAAATTACCAGTGCTATTAGTATTACCAGGATTATTGCCAACAATTACAGTAGGATTATTTGTTCTCATAGGTCGAGTTAACATCCCCATTGGCAGAGGTCGAGTCGATAAAAGTGTTGAAGACGAAGAAGTAGAAGAAGAAGAACAGGTCGAAGTTTGCGTAGGTAATGGTAAAAGTCCACTATTCTTTTGATTATTAATGAAGATATTTGGTGGAGCTGTTGCACAATTCGGTGGAACCATTGTATTCATAACCATCCTTGGTGATGGACCTAACAAAGATATTGGATTTGAAGTTATCGTCTTTTCCACAGGTACACATGTAGTAGCAGTATTACTGCCATTGGTCGATGCCTTTACACCACCTAAAAGCCGAGATGTTGCATCTGTGAAAATCATTTGATTACTTAAAGAAGAGATGACTGTTTCTGAACGAGTAACAGTATCACTTTTAGACACCATTGTATTAATATTATTACTGATGTTGGTTGAAGAAACTGTAACAGTACCACTACCAATATTTGATCCAGTTCGATGACGGTGATCAATATGCGCTTGAAGATCACGTTGACTTAGATAAGTACGCCGGCAGCCATCACTTTCAAAACACATGAATATCCCACCGACTAAACAGCGTTCAACTGTCTGTATAGACTTTTGACATCTAACAAATAAGAAAAGAAATCATAATTTCCTTAGTGACTTCAAAAACAAGATATTCAGCGAAGAGCGCCCTTTTCAACGAATTTACTCCCATGCCTTATTCCAATCCGTTTCGTTGCCTTTTTAGCTTTAAATCGTATACTACCTAATTATAATAAGTAGTAAGTAATATCACATTTATTTCACTTTGCGTGTGCATGCGACTACAAATGAAGTTTTGTCATATAATATTTTCGTTAGCTTGCTTACACTTTCGTGCATTAGCTTTTCTTGTCATTCAGAAATTGTACTTAACCCTCTTCAGTTTGTTTCATATGTAGCATAATTTTTCTTGAACCTCTGTTTGTCTTCATCTGTAGTTTGAACTTGACAGTCTGTTACTGTTTATTTCAACGTATTTATGCACTTGTTCAGTACGATTGGCAATATCACAAACACATGTTGACACCTTACAACTAGAGGCTGACAATCTTTGGATTTATGATTCTTACTTCCTAATATAGCATTATATTTTGGAAAAAAAACCTCGAGTTTTTAACTTTCAGGATTTATGCTCGATGTGCAACTCATTGTTAGGAGTACGGCTAAGCGTAACTTCCACAATTTAAGTTTCAGAATAATATATACGAACAAACAGAAGTAGTTGCTATGAGATCACCAATATTCCTTATCGTGACAAACATATTTATCGACAGGCTCAGCGGTCACATAAGTCTTTTTCTCTTTTAAATACCTTAAGGAGAAATAGCTTTCCGCGGTGTGGGAAGCCGAGAAGTGTCAACCACCCGGACGTTTGCAGTAGTACACAAGACCCAATCAAACATAACTTATCCTCCTCAACTTTGTCTCCTCTTTTGCCTTAGCCAACCTCTCACCCTGCAACCAATCTCAACGATCAAAGCCATCAAATCCTCATTAGTAATCTCCTAAGACTCCGACATCGATTACATGTAGGAGCTTTCAACGAAATCTATGCTAAATCAGACATCTAACATTGCCCGCCAAAACTCAGGAATCTCAAGCCATGGATGTGTACTGTGTCTGTGAAACACACATACAGGATCCAACTGTGATTAATTAATCAACCTCACCTGGTCATAGTAATGAATATTCAAAATTCACTTTATAAGTATCCGGAGACCCAATGGCTAGTTCTCGTCAACTCGCTAGTGTAGGCATAGCATTAAGTTGTAGAGCAGAAAAGCGCTTCTCTACTGGATATCAGTCAACAGCGGTCTATGTGTTGTTCGACTGAATGGATCTGTAAGAACTAGGAAGGATAGTGAGACCAAGCGATGCCTATTCATAATCCCCGCCTACGCACACACTGACTACAGTTCTATGAGTAGCCGTCAACCCTGCTACAGAAAGAGAAACGTTCAGATGTAGTCAGAATGGCAGGTGACATTAACGCTCAAGTAGGGAAGCTGAACTAATCAGAAAGGTATCTCGGAGTTATTTAAAAAATCATATGCCAATGATCCGACAAAGATGATCGTCTGTTGCAATTTTGTATCAACAATCATTTGTCGCTGGCCAGCATTAATTTTAGGCATAAGGAGAGACACTGTCTCACATGGCATCCGCCGACATTAAACCAACGATGGACAAATATAAGCTGTGGTTGGAGAAAAGAAGCGGAAGACAGCCGCTCTTTCTGGAGTATCAGTTTGGTTTCTGATCGCGCGTTAGTAAGGGCTCGTATATGTCTGCGCCTTACTATTCCAAAGGAAAAAAGCGATAGTAAACCCTGACTATGGTTCACTGGAAGACGAGAACATCAAGTCTGTATTTAATGAAGAGGTAGCCAAGCATTTATCTGAACATGATAGCAATGTTCACCCTGAGGAAAACTGACGTGACATTAAGTTCGCTTTAGAAACACCGATGAAGACAACTGTTAATCTACACCCGAAGATTAGCAAACGCCATTGCATTTCCACAATGTCAGCGGAACTGATTGATGGGAGAAGACTAATTCCAGGAGTCTTCGGGTCGACCGTGAGCATTGGTGGCTAGCGAAAGCGAGGGAGATGAAGAAGACATCAGCGTTGGGTAATACTCGGCAACTGTTTAGGCCTATTAGGATACAGATAAGATGATATTGAGTGAAATCATCACCGCTGATAACCTCCCACGACAGGCAGCTACAACATTGGACAGAACACTCTGAAGTGCAGTTCAATTGGCCCTCAGTAACTCTTCAGTTGCCCAGCATCCAGTCTGAACGTGAATGGGACGTAGACGCCAACTCTCTAACTCTCCTTGAAGTTGATAAGACGGAATCGAACGTTAAACGATGCCAAGCAGCAGCGCGTGACAGTTTGCCACCTGACGTTTTCAAGGATGGAGGTAGGAAATTGCTGCTTAAAGTGACAGAGTTACTAGTTGGCGTATGGAAATCAGGGGTAATGCTGTCAGACTGATCTACTTCACTGATCATCTCAGTCTATAAGAAGGAAGAGAAGTCTTCTTGTGATAACTATAGGGGAATTACTTTGACTAATATCGCGTACAAGGTCCTAGGATTCGTAATTGTAGAAGTCTCAGACTCTGAAAGGAGTACCAAGTAAGTAAGTAACGCTAATCAAAGCTCTCTGCCTGAACTCATGCAGCCATCTCAGCGCTTATGAAGAGTTTCCATGTGAACTGAAGGGAACTAGTGGTGTCCGTTCCTATTTAACTTTGCCATAGACGTACTAATGGACATAACCTTAGGTACGTGTGACTTCAGAGGGACTAACCTACTTCATCTGATTGACCTGGAATCTCCAGACGGTATTGTCCTGCTAGGTGAAGACGCTGACAAACTCCAGGGTCTTCCGGATGCCTTGAGCAGAAATCTGAATATGTTCGGATGCGCTTTGTACCTGTCAAATGTAAGATGATGGCTCGAGAACTGGTCTCCAACGTCTCCCAGTTTAATGATAGAGAGTAAACTGGTGGGATATGTCTATCACTTCATTGACTTGGGGAGTTGCATCAACTCGAACGGGTTAGTTGCGGACGAAATCTTAGTTCGGATAAAAAAAGTCCATTTGGTATTTACCAAATTAGGTCATCTGCAACACCGACTGATGAGATATCCAACTATCTATCAAAGGATGAGTATAGTGTACTGAAGTCAGTCCGTTCTGTGAGACATGGTCGTTAAAAGTAGACAACATGAAGCGGTTACAAGATTTTGGTCCTAGGTGTCTTCCTAGCATTGCTCACGTCTAGTGGAATCATCATGTGAGCAATGCTGAGATCAGATGAAAGACACTAGACAAGATAGGCAAGTTGAATGTTGTGGTTATGAAACTTCATCAGTTGGACATGTGCAACACATGTCCAGTCACCACCTACCTCCACGTGGTATGATGGGAGGAGTTGAATTGGGTTGCAAAATGGTGTAGAATGACCAAACCAAGACGTATCACTAGTCGACGAAGTCCCTGACTGTTGGTCTGAGCCATTTCCACCTGCTTTCTTTTTTATATTCTGTCTGTCTGACAGATTGACTGATTGATATACGATAAGTGCAACTGAATGAAAGCAAAAAAGCTACTAGTGAAAAACAGCTATTGTTCTCTCATGAGAATTCGAAAAAAAGGCATCAAAAGTTTAGAGTTAAATATATGAACAATGAGTAGTTTTTATTACACCAAAGAACTTGAATATGTACAAGAAAAAAAAACACTAAGGTGATTGATCCTAATGAGCTGAACATATAAGAAAAGAGTATCACCCTAAAAACACTATTTCAAATGAATGTCTAGTGTAATCTGAAAACAAAGAGAATCGAAATGTAAATGTGTGTACTTTTGTACAGTAGACAATGAATTGGACTTATTTATGTGAAAAGGAGAATTGTACTACTTACCTAAATGAAGTAGCCTCCTTCACCTATCTAGGCAGCATCGTTTCAACTACAGGCGGCACAGGCACAGACGAGGATGTCAAAGCCAACCAGGATCGGAAAAGCAAGACAGGTGTTCATTAGCCTGAAACCAGTATGGAGATCGACTGCACTCAGCATATGGAACGAAATCCGAATTTTCAACACCAACGTCAGTCAAGTCAGTGCTTCTGTGTGATGGTTCAGAGACTTGGCACGTTACGAAAGGGATTTCCAACAAACTACAGACATTCATCAACAACTGCCACCTACACTGGCTCGTTACTGAAGATCAGATGGCCGGAATAATAAGAATAAGCAACAAGGAACTCTGGCCTGCCAAGGAACCATACAACAACCTATTGCTCAACAAATATGCAGAAGGAAGTAGAGATGGATTGGGGATACATTGAGAAGGCCGATTGGGAACATTACGCGTCAGGCCAGGTACTCGAGTGGAACCCACATAGGAAACGACGAGTTGGGTGTCCAAGTCGAGGGTGACATAGAAGAGATCGTGTGAGGAAGAAATGAGAGCTTCTGGGCTGTCGTGGAGCCAGGTTCAAAGGATTTCAGAGAACACAGTGGCACTGGAGACGTGCTACTGAAGCCCTATTTTCCACAAGGAACCCAAGGGACAAATAATAACAATAATAATAATAAGGTGGGACAAAGTTCAAGCTTGTGACTGACTGCCTAGATGATAGTCAATTGTCCGCACCATGAAGCCATAAGTCTAAGCATGAAAACAGCTAATCATTTACTATAGTGTGATACAAATTCATCCTAATATAGCCTAGTATCAAACTGAATCTCCTGTAAGTAGAATTGCAGAAGCAGTTCACTCACTAATCTACAAAGGAAAGGAGTAAAACATGAGTACTGTAGTAGATTGTAATTCCATTTTTGTCACACTCACACACACACACACACACACACACACACACACACACACAGTGGAGAGACAGCATCCTTTACTGGAATGTTGCTAAAAAAAGAATTGAGAGTCACATATAACACATAAACCATTTTACAAGATGGATATCTGTCACATTATTTGATCTCTCAGACTGAAAATCAGAGGAAAAAAACTTGACACGCTTCATAGTATTATGCATAGT